TTTTTCTAATAAAAGTGGTCTTGCTGAAACCATACATTAACTGCTTGTGTTTTTTTTTTTTTGAAAGTAAACAATCTGTACCAGATATCCAGGTTCACTGGCTTCTCTTAACGATTTCTACCAATAGTTAAAAAGTTAAAAGTACAACAAGGTCTACACACACTTTTATTAAGTAACTTTTAGAAGTTACTTGTCAATCCAGTTTTGAAAATGGTTGTCGTCTTTCTCCTCTCCCTTTGATAAATACACAAGTTTATTATAAAAATAATCTAGAAGCGTATAAATCAATCTATTGTAAATTTCTTAAGTATTACCAAACCTCCCTCATCCCATATCCAAAGTCAAAAAAACTCATTCCCAGTCTCTGAGCAAATTATTTCCCCAATTGTTAAGTCTTCCAATACATCCTTAATTTTCAGCCAAAGTCCAGGGTGTGAGAAAAACTTATTTGCCCAACTCTTACATACTCTCTTGAGAGGAGGTTAATGAAGGCAGAGACCACGTCTTCCTGCATCCCCCTCCAGATCACAGAATTTAACATTTAGCATACGTACAATGTTTGCTTTATAGTCAGAAGTTAAACTATTACTTCCTCCTCTTCCCTCCCTGGTGCTGTCCTCTCTTCCTCTTGCCGCCCAAGACAGGCGGCCTGGAATTCATCTTACCTCCTAAACCTCCTTTCCTTTTCCCTCCCTGGCTGGGTGGTCCCCCTTTCCTCTTGCCTGCAGAACCCTGCCGTCCCCCTTTCCTTTTGCCCTTTTGGCTCATTTTCCTCCTCTTGGCGGCCTCCTCTTGTTCCTCCTCCCTCAACTGCTTATTGGTGGCCCTCGTCACATCCAGCCGAGGTTTTTTGCTGTTCATGACTCGAAGCAGCTCCAGCTGGTTCTTTCTCTCGGCTGCAAAGTCTCCGAAAAGGGGCTGAAACTTTCTCTTTTTGCCGGAGCCCCGGGGCGCCTTCTCCTTGGGCAGGTTCTCCTGGAAGCGCCCTACAGAGGCAGTGGAGACCTTGGCCACCTGCATGGCGCGGCCCAGCTCCTCCTTACTCTGGTGTCCGGTAGGGTGCAGGCCAGCCGCGCTGGGATGCTGCATCTTATGCGCGCGGGCAAGGTTCCGCAGCCTGTTCAGCTCGTTCTTGGCCACTCGTTCCTTCTTGGCCTGAATCCGCTTGGCGAACTGGTCCTCCAAGGGGTCGGCACTATCTGGCACTTCAATCAGCCATTCCTTGGTGTTGTCTCCGGCGCGCTGGTAGCCCCAGCGCCGCCGCCACTGGCCGCTCACCTCGTCCCACACCAGATTGGTCTTCTTTTTCGGACGGATGCCCTTGAGGCGCGCGAACTGCTGCCAGCGAGTAAGCGGCCGCGGCCGGGGAACCGGCTTCTCCCGCGGCAGGCGCGTAGTGGGCTCAGGCAGCCGCGCCACCACAGCCTCTTCCACGCGCTCCGTGGGCAGCTGCCACAGCTGGTTGATGAGCAGCTGCGTGTTGTCCCGCGCCAGGGCCCGCAGCTCGGCCTCCGGCGTAGGTCCCGCACACCGCAGTCCCGTTGGGGGGTTCCGGTCCGCAGCCAGCAGGTTGCCTAGATCGAACTCTAGCTCTATCTCCTTGTGCACAGTAATGCGCTGCAGCTTCTCTGCCTCGTCCCGCTCTGCCTTGGCCAGGAGCTCTTCCACACTCTGGCCCTCCATGGCTCGGTCTCGGCCCACTTACTTTGGAGCGGCAGACGAAGTTACTTCTGGGACTGTGGCCCCTCAGCATCGGCAA